CCGTCCGTGCCTCTGTTGCGCAGGTCCAGCAGAATCAGGTGGTTGTCGGAGCCCCCTGCAAAGAGAGGGCGTTGGTGGGGGGGCAGGGGGCTGGGGTGGGTGCTGCTCCCATGTGAAACTTCAGCAAAAAAGGCTTGGATTGCACCGGGGTCTAGCCCTGGTTTTGGGAGCAGAAGGGGGCTTGGCCTTTGGGAACGGGGGAGCTGCTTCAAAGTAGTTTTGCAGATGCCCTGAGGAATTGGGATGGCAGAGCTCTGCCCATCGCCGCCCTGGGGCCTGGCTTGGACCCTGGGTCACACACAGCCGAGACCGGTGCTCACCCGTGACGATGTTGTAGCCCAGCTCCATGAGCGCCGCCGACAGCGCCTTGCAGTTGGCGACCACCTGCTGCTGGTAGGCCTTGAACTCGGGTGTCATGGCCTGCCGCAGCGCCACCGCGATCCCTGGGGGGGAAGGCAGACCAGGGAGAGGTTTTGGGGGTTCCCAGCAGAAGTCATCTTGGAAACTGAGCAAATTGAGACAATCCCTTCCCCTAACCAGGCTGCTGATGTTGCCATGACCCAAAAGGTAGGATGAGGCAAGCCTGGCTGCTGCTCGCTGTGTTCTCTCCAGGCCATGAGCCCCTCGGGGCAGCTGGAGCCCTCCCTGCACTGCTGCTGGGGGTCAGAGCCCAGCCAGGACATCTCTATTGGTTCCCTTTGCCTACCTGCGATGGCGTGGTTGTGCGGGCCTCCCTGCAGCCCTGGGAAAACCGCCTGGTTGATGAGGCTCTCCAGGTTGTAGAGCGTTTCCTTGCCCGTCTTGGGGTCCACACTGCGGGTGCCTGCGGGAGGGGAGGGCAGGGTCACTCATGAGCACAGCCGCCCTTCTCCCACAAGCTGCTTGCACCCCACTGGCCTCTCAGAGCAGGGGTGATGGTGGTGGTTTCTTATCAAATCTGGGCCACTGTTGGTCCTGGGAAGCTCCCCAGATGCTTTCAGGAGGCCACAGACCTCCCTGCTCTCCCTCTTTCCCAGCTAGAGCACAAAGGAGCTTTAACTTGCAGCCCCCCCAGCCTGGGGGGAGCGTTTCTCCCTGCTCCCCAGCCAGCTCTGGCACCTTTTCGGTAGAAGATCATGCCAGCCCTGCAGCCCCGCAAGGTCTTGTGGGTGGTGGTGGAGACGATGTCGCAGTGGTCGAAGGGGGAGGGCACCACGCCGGCGGCCACCAGCCCGCTGATGTGGGCCATGTCGGCCATCAGGTAGGCACTGTTGGCATCGGCGATCTTCCGCATGCGGACGTAGTCCAGGTTGCGCGAGTAGCAGCTGGTACCTGCAGGGAGGTGGCACATGGAGGGGACAGGAGCAGACGCTCGAGGACCTTGTGACAACCCCAGGTCCAGCTCTGCAATAGGAACAGCCCAGCTGGGGACAGCACACAAGCTCCTGCCAGCATGGATGTGTTTGAGGTCTCCTCCTGGGACTGCAGCACTCATGGGTACCCAGGGGCTTACGAGGGTGGCTTCAGGGAGCCACCCCCACCCAGGCTGTGTCACAGGGAGAGGGGTGAGGGTTTGATCCTCACCTGCTACGATCAGCTTGGGGTGGAAGAGCAGCTGGGGGTGGAGGAGGCGGGCGTTCTCCTCCAGCCGGTCGTAGTCGATGTAACCCGTCTTGGGGTTGACCTGGGAGAGGAAGAGGAGGGTTCAGCCGCCTTGGCATGGGTGCAGCTGCAGGAGGGGGTGCCCGGAGGCTGACACTGGTACTTTGAACTTTAAGAGGTACCAACGCTTTTGACAACCACATCCTGGCTCCAGCTGGAGCAGCTCACTGTACCTTGTAGGGCATAGACTCGAAGAAGAGAGAGGTGGCAGAGATCTTCTTCTTGTCCGTCATGAAGCCGTGGGTGAGGTGGCCTCCATCGGGCAGGTCCAGCCCCATGATCCTGCCGTGGGGCTCCACCAGGGCCGTGTACACCGCAAAGTTGGCCGGTGACCCTGCAGGCAGAGCACACTGGGCCGGTTACAGGTGCTGGGGCGTGCAGAGACCGATGCAGCCAGTCTGGCTCTCCTGAGCGCCCCATTACCTGAGTAGGGCTGGACGTTGACGCCCCACTTCTGGGGGTCGAGCCGGTACGCCTGCAGGGCTCGCTTCTGGCACAGCCTTTCCAGCTCGTCTACAAACTCTGTCCCACCATAGTACCTGTTGGTAAAGCATGAGGCAGAGGTTAAACCCAAACCGGTGACCAAGCCGTGGAGAACCCGGTGATGCCGCGTGTGGACAGCAGCTGCAGCAGATGTCACCCTGCTGAGATTGTCCCGTGCATAGCCAAGGACGTCGCTTCCTTCCCAGAGGTGAGGCCTGGCAGCGTGGGCGCTTCCTCTCCCCTCCCTGCAAGGGTTTGGGTGCGGTGGGACTCTGCCCCAGCCCCATACCTCTGTCCTGGGTATCCCTCAGAGTATTTGTTGTTCATGCAGGATCCCAGCGCCTCCAGGACCGCTCGGCTTGCAAAGTTCTCCGAAGCGATTAACTCCAGCCCCAGCCTCTGCCGCTGCTTCTCCTTCTTGATGATGCTGTGCACCTTTGAGAAGGGAGAGAAACAGAAACAGCTTCACCCGTGCTGGCTCTGCATGGAGATGTGGATGTTCTGTGGTAGGGGATGCATCCTTGGAGGGGACAGGGCATGGAGAGGGGCCTGGAAAGATGCTGGAGATGGGAAAGGAGATCCCTTCTTGGTACAGCTGAGCCCTAACAGTTCCTATGTCTGGTCACAGGCCATGTTTTGGGTCTCCCCACAGCTGCCTGGGGATGAATGAAGTGGCTGGTGGGCAGGGTCCAGGACAGGGCTCTCACCTCTGGGTCGTTGCTGTCAAGCGGCTCCATTACCATCCTGTTATGGGAGGCCCAGAGCTCTGCACTGGGAAGGCCCCCATCACCTTGCATTGAGTTTGCCATCTTCTTGCTGTGTCCAGTGTCACCTGCCAACGGAGAGGGGAGTTTATGGGACAAGCTGGGGTGGCAGCAGGGCTGGAGGCCTCTGCACTTCACCCCTGCATGCTGCCTCCTCCTATCCCACACCTTCCCTGGAAACACAGAGGGGCTGGGGCTCACTGGGTGAGAAAAACACAGACAAATGTCAGGCTTTCCCGCTGATTTAAGACCAGTTCATTAATTGCAGTGCTTTGATCAGTCCAGCCCCAATTACTAACTGAAGCAAGCACAGCTCAGGGAGCTGCTTTGCCTCAGCTTGACTCCACAGCACGCGTGATGCCCATTGGGTCCAGCCACTAGCATTATAATGCAGAGCACAAGCTCCCAGGCAGGCGTGACGACCCAGGGTCTGCCTCGGCTGAACACAATGCATCTTTTCACCCATTAACCCTGCAAGGCCAGCGCGGGGCCGTGAGCAGGTTGTTAAGCAATCGCACTCGGTTTGCTTGTGCCAAGCTGCTGAAGTCCATTCAGAGCGGGCAAGCTCAGCTGCGCTCCTCCCAGAGGGGCCTGCTGGCAGGGAGGGAATCCCTGCTGTCAGGAAAGCTGAGCAGGGAGAGGGAAAGGGCTGCCGGAGTGCAGTGCTCCGGCTTTGAGCACCACCCCCGAGGGGCTCCCGCTGCCGCCTTCACCCCTGCACTGACACCGGTGGCGGAGAACAGCGC